TGGCCAAGCCAACCGACATCTCTATGACATACGGAGCCTGCCGAAGGGTGGTGCTCTTTGTGACTACCCCCCCCCCCCCACACACACCCGGACAGAGCTCAAACTTCCTCACAATCCCCTTCCTGGAGTCCAGTCAAAAGCCAGACGACCACAGCACAGTTCCGTGGTGGGGGGTGGGGTGCGGAGGAAACGCTGGCAGGCGGGAAATCATTTAAAAAAATCATCCACATTAACAATACCCACATGTTTATTGAGCACTTACTGCGTGACAGACCTTAGTACTTTACAAACATGGTTTCAGTGAATCCTACCACAGACTATGCAGAGAGTCTAACGTTAAGCTTATTTATAGAAGTCAATTCTTGCTCTTCCTGGTAGTTGGGGGCTTACATTGAACATTGAATTTACAAATACTGAAGCTGGGCATAATGGCACAGGCCTTTAATACCGGCACTTGGGAAGCAGAGGCCGGAGGATCTCAGGGTCTAAGGCCAGCCTGGTCTACCTGGTGTGTTCCAGGACAGCCAGAGCCACACAGAGAAACCCTGTTTCAAAACAAAACTAACCAACCAACCAACAAACAAAAAAGGAGGGGAGTGGGGTATTTAACATTTAACACAAGCATTTCCTCAAAGGTATATCACAGCTTTCTTGTGCTTAGGAAGATTAGATAATATTCAGCGCAGCAACATCATAATCATCAACAACAAAACCTAAAAAATTCAAATAAAAAATATTGATTGTGGGTTGGAGAGATGGCTCAGAGCTTAAGAGCACCGGCTGCTCTTCCAGAGGTCCTGAGTTTAATTCCCAGCAACCACACGGTGGCTCACAGTCATCTAGAATGAGATCTGGTGCCCTCTTCTGGCGTGCAGGTGTACACGCAGACAGAACACTGTATACATAATACATAATCTTTTGCAAAATATATTGATTGTAATTAGAGTGCTGGAAAAACTTGTTTACAAGAGTTAAAATACGTCTGTGAGGGCAGAAAGTCGTCCTGTTCTACAGACCACAGCTGGCACTTGGAACTTCTGCTTCTGCGTGCATCCTCTGCGAATAATTGCAAAAAGTGACACAAGAATTGGTCTTGTGGTTACAAAGGAATGTGGTGAGTAGGTGAATTCACAGAGACCGAATCTGACTATACAAGGAAGCCACCTTGGTGAGCTGTAGTCACAGAATTAGAGGCAGGTCTGGGTTCAAGTCTGATAACTTGGAAGATTGAAAGCCCAGAGTCTTTGTCTTTTGCTATTCTATGCCCATTTATTTGTTTATTCAAGATATTCACTAACAACCAGGGATATGGAAGAATATGAATTCCCAGAGTTCTGAGATGAAAGAAAACGCCCCATGGATAAGGGGAGAGAGGAGCTAACTCCAGCTTCACCTGTCGGAAGCAGACAGGAGAGATTGTGTCTATCCTGCCTGCATGGAGCTGAGGAACTTTGGATTTGCCCCCTCTCTCTCCCTTCTATCACCCTTCCTTGCCTTCAGTCTCTAAGGAACTAGTAAAGCTGTGAGGCCCCACCATCCTCCACTTTGCCCCCCTTAACTTTTAGCCACTGTATTTGAGAGCCTCTCTGTCCTTACTCAGGCTCTGGGCCAAAGCCTCCTCCCCTGCTCTCCGGAAGTCACACTGCCTGCCTCCTTAGGGACTCCAGTAACGTTTAAGATAGACTGACAGGGTGAGTGCTGGATCTACCACTCGTAAGTTACGAGACCCTAACAAGCCCTCAAGCTTCCCGGGCTTCTGTTTTTCCTCATATTTAAAATAAGGATTTTAAAGAAAGTCTCAAATGGGTGCGGCAGCCTACACCTATAATCCTAGCATGTGGGAGGTGGAGGCCAGGAGGATCAAGAGTTCAAGGACATCTTAAGCGTCACAGAGAGTAAGTGGGCCATGCTGGCCTACTTGGGACCTAGAACAACAAAAAACCCAAACCAACAATAAACAGACAAAAACATCCTAGAACAAACAAGCAAAAAGAAAGTCTAAGTCATAGGATTGGTGTACAGAAAAAGAAAAACAAAACAAAATGTTACATATTTAAGGTATGTTTTATTAGTATAGTCTGGTTGTAGCTCTGGCTAGCCTGGAACTCACAGAGATCCACATGCCTTTGCCTCCTGAGTGCTGGGATAATAGGCACTGATCGCCAAGCTCAGTCCATCTGTTTCAGTTCTGAGAAGGAGTTAAACTTGAAGGATCGAATGATCCTCTTTCTTCAGCCTCCAGAGTAGCTGCTGATACAAGTATGTCCCACAGACTTATTACCAGCAATATTATCATCCGTGCTCTGTCTCTTCAGGCACCTCTCTTCCACCCAAAAATAACCAACTAAAAAATCTGCTTCTAGACTAGAGAGATGGCTCAGCAGTTGAGAATGCTTCCTGCTTTTGCAGAAAACACCCAGGACCCACACTGGGGCGATGATCCCAAACATTTGCAACTCCAGCCTCAGGGGATCTGCTGCTGCTTTCTTCTGGCCTCTGCGTACATATGAACACACACACACACACACACACACACACACACACACACACACCCACTTCCTTGGCTGTGGTGGCACCTCCGGTTTGGTTTGGGAGGTGGAGGTACAAGGAAGATCACTGCAAGTTCAAGGGCAGCTGAGGCTATATCGTGAGTCCTAAGCAAGCCAGGGTTACACAGTCACGCTATTTCTCAAGAAAACAAAAATAAAGTAATAAAAATCAATCCACTTCCTCAAGTCAAGGAATGTAACTCAAGCCTTTCTACCGTGTGGAAAGGCTTGGGCCCAGTCCCCAGCAATACACTGTCTCTCTCTCTCTCTCTCTCTCTCTCTCTCTCTCTCTCTCTCTCCCATCACCACCATCCCTCCCCTAAATCTAAGTCTATCCCTGAAATCACTCTAGCAGTGCTCTCTGCTCTGACCTCCTGGTGCGCAACGTGCTGTGTCTCACAGGAGGGAGGAAACCCTATTTTAAAACCGCACAACTATTTTCCTACACAGACCAGGAAACGACGACTGAAAAGCAAATCTCAGAAATGGCAGGCGGAGTAGCAGGGTGGGACAGTGCGGCCTGCAGCCTAGCAAGGGGAAGGCCGAGGCAGGTGTGGCGCTTCACACCCGCAAGCCCAGCGCTTGGGGGATTGCGTCAAGCTTGAGGCCAGTCTGTGTACAGTGAGACCTCTTCTCAGAATAATGCCAGACTTGGTGGCTTACACCTATGATCCCAGCACTCTGGAGGCAGAAGCAGGCAGGTTTCTGAGTTCAAGGCCAGCCTGGTTCACACCATGAGCTCTAGGACAGCCAGGGCTATATAGACCCTGTCACAAAGAAAGAAAGAATAAATAGGGGCTGGAAGATGGCTCAACCATTAAGAGCTCTTGCTGCTCCAAAGGACCCAGGTATGAGTCCCAGCACTCACACGGGATTCCTAACTGTTTGTAACTCCAGTTCTAGGGGATCTGAAACCCTCTTCTAGCCTCTGCACAGGGCACACAAAAATACATGCACACAGAACACTCATACATATTAAATAAAATTTAAATTAAAAAAAATAAATTAAATAACCAGGCACAGTGGCACACATCTTTAACCCACACTTGGGAGGCAAAGGCAGGCTGATTTAAGTTTGAGGGTAGCCTGGCTAGTCAGAGCTACATAGTGAGACCCTGTCTCGGAAAACAAAAACAAAAAACAAATAACAAATAAACGAATCCCTAGGGCCCATAGCCGTACAGCTAAGAAATGACAGAAACAGAATTTGAGCCCCTAATATGAATAACTAGAGAGCAAAGACTTTTGGGGGCCCGTCAATCAGGAACAGTGGGGTGGGAAATCAAAGGTGCCCCAGAAAAAAAGGGGGCTTGGAATGGGAATTTCTCCTTTGTAGGCCCACAGTGCCACCTACTGGCAGAATAATTAGGGCTGTACGTAGGGCTCCAGAACATGGAGAGAGGGAGAAGAGAGTAAGAGGTGAGCGGGCAGCGAGCATGCCTGTAATCCTAGCACTCAGGGAGGCAGAGGCAGGCGGATCACTGTGAGCTCAAGGTCAGCCTGGTCTACAAAGGGAGTCCAAGACAGTCGAGGCTATACAGAGAAATCCCGTCAAAATGTAAAAGAAAAAAGAAAAAGAAGAAGTGAGGGGGCTAGAGAGACCACTTAGTCTTTTAGGTAGCAAAGGACCCTGGTTCGATTCCCAGCACCTACATGGCTATTCACAGCCTCCTATAACTTCAAATTTTCCAGGGGATCTTATGTCCTCTGCTGAAGTCCATGAGAACCAAGCTCACACATCAGGAATATGTAAGCAAAAGGATATTAAAAAAAAAAAAAAAAAAAAAAAAAGATGAAGAAAGAGCAGGATGGGGACCTTGAATTTGTGGAGGAAAAAGCACAAAAAACTATGTCCTGTTCTGAGGTGAGAACAAAGGTTGCCATGGCCGTGTCCTTGAAAGTGTGTGTGTGTATCAGTGTGTGTGTGTATGTGTGAGCATGTGTATATGCTCTCATAAGTGTGTGTGACTGTGATTTGGTTGTGTGTGTACATGTGTGTGCGTTCATGAGTGTGTGAGCTGGCTCAGAGTACGTGCATGTACTTGTGTGTGTGTGTGCTCACACACAGAGAGACTGAGAGCTGTGCGCACGCACATCAGGAGTACCGGTCTACGTTATATAGGTATCTGAGTTTTGTGTGTGAACACATGGATGGCAGTTTGAACAGATGTGGGTGCCGGATACACACACAGGCTGGAGGTAAGAATCAGGGCCCAAAGTTCTGGAGAGCCACTCCTGACACTGCTGCCTCACACACCCTTCTGAAATCGGGAGAGGCAGAGCCTAAGGGTGACATTTCCAGGGAGAGATCTGCTTCTGCTTTTGGTGTTGGGAGCCTGGCTCCAGGCAGTAGGGGGCAGTAGGGGCAAAGGAGGTTGATCAGCCTTGGGTGGGGCCAGCGGGCTGGCAGGCGGGCAGGCAGGCGAGGCTTTTAAAGCACCTGCCCGACCTGTAGGTAAGCAGTGCTGTGCAAGGACTAGCAGGTCCCTCATCACCCCGCCAGCACACTGAGTGGCAGTTTCCTGGAGCCCTTCTGTTCTTCCGGGAGTGCAGCAGATCCCGCTCAGAACCTAGTGCCAAGAGCCCTGAGCAGGTGATGGCATAGGGCAGAGATTAACCTGTGAATGGAGACCAGTCCAGAAACAGGTTTGGGATGCTAGAAAAAAAGCCATTGGGTGGGTTCTGAGGAGTCTGAGGTTGGTTTAGGAAGAGCACCAGGGAAGATGGATATCAGGAAAGAGCATGCGTGACCTGCTGTGTGAGAGCCAGGCTTGTAAAACCTGCGTGGGAACCTGGGGATGTTAGGGTCTGAGGATTAGTACAGGTGGGCATGGGTGTCAGGATGGGGACTGGGAACAGTTCTGAGATATCACAGTGGAGACATAGGGGAAGTTGGTGAGGAACACGGGATGCCGGACTCGGGCGTGCCAGGGTTCAGGAAGCAAGGCTGGCCCAGGGCAGGTGGGACGAAAGACCCTAATTTGGACATGTGTGTTTCCCAGGACCCACCATGCAGTGCTTCAAATTCATTAAGGTCATGATGATCCTCTTCAATCTACTCATCTTTGTAAGTATGGAGGGTGTGGGCTTCCCAGGTTCCCTAAAAGAGCAGGTCACAATCTGGGGGGCTCAGGCTAGAAAATGGGAGACTGTGTGCCCAGACTCTGACCTGCCAGTTTTTCCTTTTTGAGTAGGAAGCAGAGGGTCTTCCCAAATGCTGACCCCTCTAAACAGCCTGGCCGCCACACAGAAGTTTGGGTGAAGACGGGGGAGGTTAGGGATGGAAAAGTTTAAGGCTCTCACCTCCCTTCCAGGAAGAATCGGTCTAGGGCAGGATAGGAGTGAGTCACCCCCCTTTTTAATAGGTATTCAAGGTTCAGAAAGGAAAGGGGAGCCACTTAAGTTTAGAATGCAAAAGCTAATTCAGTGACCACCGGACACTGAAAAGCTGAGAGAGAGAGTCCATGCCTCTTACCGTTGACTCTAGCAACCTTTATGTTTTTAATAAATATTCATTGGCTGGGTTGGCATTTAAGGAGCTGGGATAGTTGCTTGGCAGTAGAGCATGCATTAAGCCACAAACGAAAAGGAAAACATGTTCATTGATGAAGACGAAATGCTATGTCTTAGAGTAGCGGGAGGGCAAGGCCGTTCACTGCCCTTGAGGTTCTCTAAACCAGTCAACCAGATAGGCTGATAATTGTCCAATAGAATGATAATTGCTATACACACTGATAGTTGCAAAGCGGTACCTTCAGATTTACCACCAAGGCTAAGGGAGCCCCTGGAGGGGTTTGAATCTAGCCTGGGAGGAAAATACTTCCTACCAGGAAGTAGCTGAAGCTGGAAATTTGCATTGGGTGGAGGAGCTGTAAAGTGCATAGAAAGGCCCAGAGGTAATGAAATTTGATATTGTTTAGAAAACCAGGAACAGATTATATAGGGCTTATTTGAGAAGCTGATGTATGAGGCCCCAGCCCTGGAGATAGTGACAGAGATAAGAAGAAAGGGACACAGTAAACAAAGGTGGCAGAGAGGTGGTAGAACAAAGGCAAAGTCTTAGAAGTGGCTTGAGCACTGTTGCGGGGGAGGGCTCATCCTCCCTGCTCCTGTGTACCCAAGGGAGGGGCACGGATATTTGAAAGTCATGTGCCTGTGAGCAGCCAGTGAAGTCATAGGGGTGGGGCGGGACCCTGGCAGCAGTAAGAGGCAGTGTATCTTTTACCCCCTCCACAGCACCCGTGAATATCTTAGAACCCCTGACCTCAAAGAAAGGGAGTTCTTGGAAACTGGAAATATTAGGGATGAACAGAAAAATAGCCACCATGAGGGAGACAAGGAAGGAAAGCAGCGGTCAGGGGCTGACCTCACCCGAGGTTAATGAGGGAAAGGGGGGAAAGTAGAGGCTTGATGTGCGCCAGTTTAGAGAAATTGGACAAAGGATAGGTAGACTCTCAGTGTGGTCTGTACCCTGGGCTTTCTTTGGCTGCCATGAACTAGGTTGTATTCATAAAACTGGAAGAAATACTAGAATTTCGGCAATTGAGAGAGCCAGGGCTCTGGCCTGACAGGGTTAAAGGCAAATCCAGTTTGGTTTCTGTCCAATGTTGCCCAGGCCTTGTCAGACTGGGCAGAACAAGGGAGGAAAGCCAGGCTCCTTGAAATTTGACCCCGTAGGCTAGAAACCCAGCTCTCCTGTCCTTAAGCAAACATCCTGGGATAGGGCCACAATATATATATCTCTACCCACCTGCCAGACTCAAGTCCTTAGTCGGACAGTGCGAGCTGTGCGTAAGTCAGGCTGATTCGTCCACCGAAAGACCCTGAAGGGTCAGCAAATGTTTGCTAGGAGCCGTGGGGCCAGGGCCTCCATTGACGCCCCTCAGAGCTTCACCGCTGAAAGCTCAGGTTGAGTCAGTGCCTTGAAGGGGCAGTTGTGTCTACCTCTGTTTTCTCGGTTTCTACTTGTCAGGCAGTGGTCTGGGTGAAAAGCGGTGAGTCTGGCAGCTGATTCCACCCCGGAAGGGGTTCAAATAGGGCCTTCGAGTGGATGAACGTCTCAACCTCGGCCCTGTTTCAAGGTTGCAAGCCTCACCCTGCTGTTACTATAGTGACTGTTGAGCCTGCTCCACATCAGCTGCTTCCATGCATCTGAGAGTAGTTATTCTAGGCACCCACAGCCCAAGACTCAGAGACTGGACCCATTTTCTCTCCTACCTATATGGCAGGAACTTGACAACAGTAAAAGGAAAGTTATGTGCCTTCTCCAAGCCTGCGGATATTTCTAGAACCCCTGATCTCATTTTATCTTCCCAAGTGAGCAGACTGATGAATTTGTTCTAAGTGTCTTAGCTCCCATCTTTCTGGTACTAGTTAATGCTTCCCTCCATGCCCCCTGGGTTGTTAGATTTCCAAGTCAAGGAAAGGTGAAGTTTCCTGACTTGATGGTGTAAAACAGAACCATTTGCTAGCACTGTTTCAAAGCCTGACTTTTGTCCCCAGCTCTGTGGTGCGGCCCTGTTGGCTGTGGGAATCTGGGTGTCTGTCGATGGGACATCCTTCCTGAAGATCTTTGGGTCAATGTCATCAAGTGCCATGCAGTTTGTCAACGTGGGCTACTTCCTCATCGCAGCTGGTGTTGTGGTCTTTATCCTCGGTTTCCTGGGCTGCTATGGTGCTCATTCTGAGAACAAGTGTGCGCTCATGACGGTGTGTCAGACCTAGCCCCCCAGGCCCACAACCAAGGGTTCTTTCACCCCTGACACCAGCCTCTGGGGATCCCAAAACCCTACTCTGGATTCCGAGAACCTCACCATGGGGGCCCCTTGCCTCTCAGACGGGAGTGGGCAGGGCAAGGGAGGCGCATCTCCCTAAAATGTATTTTGTTTCCCACTCAGTTCTTTTTCATCCTTCTCATCATCTTCATTGCTGAGCTTGCGGCCGCTGTGGTGGCCTTGGTGTATACCACAATGGTGAGGCCCAGGAATGGGGAAGGGGGGGGAACTGAGCTAAGTGGCCCTGAGAAGTGGGTGGCGGCCTGTGAAAGGCTACTTCCCCTCCTGGTCTCTTACTACTGGCCTGCTCCATCCAGGCTGAACAATTCCTAACGTTGCTGGTGGTGCCTGCCATCAGAAAGGACTACGGCTACCAGACTGACTTCACCCAAGTGTGGAACTCTACCATGGAAGGGGTACAGTAGGCGGTGGGGATTTGGGACCAGAGGGGGAGAAAACTTGAGGCGCCGTCCGTCACCCCTCCCATTTCCTCTGCAGCTGAAGTGTTGTGGCTTCAACAACTACACAGATTTTAACACCTCACGTTTCGTCGAAGAGAATAAAGTCTTTCCCCCCTACTGTTGTATCAACCCTGTCAACAGCACAGCTGAGGATCCATGCACCGAGGAAAAGGCCAAAACTATGAAAGTACAGGTACGTGCTGGCCTAAGAGGGTGGAATTCTTTTTGTTGTTTGTTTGGTTGGTTTTTTTTGAGACAGGGTTTCTCTGTGTAGCCCTTGCTGTAGTCTTGGAACTCACTGGATAGACCAGGCTGAGATCTACCTGCCTTTGCCTCCTGAGTGCTGAAATTAAAGCCGCCACTGCCCAGCATGGGTGGGATTTCTTTAAGGCCTTACAGTAGTAAATGAGCTGGCGGTAAGGCATTCCAGCTATAAATACTTTCTCCTCTCTCCCAAGGGTTGTTTCAAACAGCTTCTGCATGACATCAGAACCAATGCAGTCACCGTGGGCGGTGTGGCAGTTGGAATTGCCGCCCTGGAGGTAAGTCGCTGAGGAGACTGGAACTGGGCTATCAGTGTCCACCAGACGTGTACAGAGTAGTCCATCTCTGAGGCTTCTCTAGAGAAGATTTTTTAAAGTGTTTTCATTTCTGGAACTGAGGACTGAACGCAGGGGCCTATGAATGCCAAGTATGTATTCTACCATAGAGAAAACAGTGTTTCCTGTAGGCTGTTCAGGGCAGACAAGAAACCAGGCCTTGAGGATGTTAATCATGCCCTTTCATGTCTCCCTGTCCCTTCCCACCAGCTGGCTGCCATGTTTGTATCCATGTATCTATACTGCCATCTGCAGTAGGACTGCTTCTGCCTCCCGACTTGCTGCCGCTGCATGGAAGCCAGGAAGAGGCACTTGGCACAGCTCAGCAGCAGTGATGGGGGTGGAAATGAAACCTAGCAATGCCATTTGGGCTGGAGTGGATTTGCCTTTCCTACTCTGAACTTTGGGCTAAATAGGGACTACCTCTTTTGGGATCTGTGTCCTCCCTGTTCTTCCGCTGGTGGGGTCGAGGAGGCATCTGTCCCACAGTCTCAGAGGCAACCATGTCTGCCCATCTCCTGATTATTTTCTTCCACCCTTGACGCTCCCTTAGTCTAAAAGCGGCTCTTGATGATCCCAGCACTGCACTCGTGGATGAAGGCACTTACAGCCTGGGCATTTCAAGCGTCAGTGAATGTATAGAAGGCATTTTTGGAACCTATAAAGCAATTAAAATATTTCTATTTGGACTGTGTATGCTTGGAGAGATGGGTGCAGATCACCTAAATTGCACTGGTTTCTGCGAGGCTGGAGACTCAGCAGGGTGGAAGGGAAGGACGTGAGGTAAGTATTTGGGCTCCAGGCCTGGAAGGAAGAGTTAAACTACCGGCTAAGAGGGCACTGAGGAAGTGGGAGCTGGGTTGGTCTGCCTTTATGTATCATGACTTTGTCCTGAAAGTTCTCCCTCCTGGTGAAGGGCACTGGACTGGAAAGCCATGAAAATAGCTTGTGCCAAGTCAAGGAGGAGGGAGAACAGAATTACTGTCAGGGCCGTAGGGGTAGAGCTACTCTCTGGAGCCCTCCAGGAACTCTGAGAACTAGGTCTGAGCTATGTGCCTTACTTTGGGAAATTTCAATATCATTTATTCTTGGGGGGCTGGCCTATCCATTGCTCTAAAGATTTGTACTTTTTGGGGGGGAGTTGGTTTATATATTTTTATTGGGGGGGGGGCAATGAGAGGTCCTCTCCCATCAATTAACAAGTTCCTCAGACAGTCCAGACTTCTGCCCCAGGGTCTGAGTGTGGATAGGAACATTGGTTATGCTCCATCATGGCACAGGAAATGGGCAGGTGTTTGGTGCGGCCTGGTTCATCATGGTGGCATATTTAGTGTGGGGGCTGAGAGCACAATTATAGCAAAGGGACACCACCAGCGCTGGCTCCACCAAGCACCTTTTTATCTTGTGTTTGAAACAAGGTTTCTCTATGTAGTCCTGGCTGTTCTAGAACTTGCCCTGTAGCCCAGAGATTGGCCTGCCTCTGCCTCCTGCATGCTGGGATTAAAGGTATGCACTGCCACATCTGGCCGAGATCGCAATTCCTTGTTTCTGCTTTGAGATGGCAGGGATGGAAGGTCCTCATGTAGCCCACAGACTGGCCTTGAACATTCTACATAGCTGTGAATGACTGAATCCCCGCCTCTGTCTCCTAAAAGCTGGGTTCACAGGTTTATCACCACACCTGGTTTTATGAGGTAATGGGAACCACACCTGGCTTCGTGTGTTCGAGGAAGCAAACACTGCGTGAGGTACATCCCTAGTCCTACTGCCAGAGTCCCAGAGCTTTTCAGCTGAAAAGCTGAGGCCAAGACTTCGACCAGATTGACTCCTGCAACTGGGGAGACCTTGCTTGGCACAGTAATGACAGTCCAACCTGGAGAACCGGACCAAAATGTCCCTGACAAAAATCCGAATGTCTTAAAAAAAAAAAAAAAAGCCTTTATTTCCATCACTTGGGAGGCAGAGGCAGTCTGGGTTCAAGGCCAGCCTGGTCTACATAGTTAATTCCATGACAATCAGGGCTACGTAGAGAAAAACTTGCTTCAAAAATAAATAATTGAGTGCCTCTGAACTTCTGGTAGCAGCACTAGGGGAAAAGGCTGCTGCCACAGGACTGTGGCTGCTACCAAGCAAAGCCCAGTTTGACAAACTGGCTTCCCTCCTCCCTTCCCTTTGACACCCCCCACCCCCATCTGTCTCTATGGGCTTTTCCAGAGCAGCCCACTGCTATCACCCACTTGCTGGGCCCAAAAAAGAACAGACTTGGCCAGAGCCACACTTCAGGCAGTGGAGTCTGATCAAGAATCTAAGGTTTTAGGCAGGGAGCTAGCTGGCTTTCGCCCTTTCCCAGCGCACTGTGCCCCTCACACAATCCCTCTATTCCTCCCACAGGTGCCTGTTTGGAAGTAGGAGTGGGATGGGGAGGGCTGAAGGGGGATTTGTTTGCCCAGGGAGGTTGCCACTTCATCACGGGCTGTTTCTCCTGTACCTGCTTTGCCACCTGAAACACTATTGACAGCTCCAGCAGACACTCAAGGCGTCAGGGTGCTGAGCAAAGTCAAAGCCATATGGTACCGGCGCCATTGCTACGCTGAGCTCTAAGTACTGGTAGAGTCTGGACAGATAAAGTGAACAGATAAAGGGCAGGAATTGCAGTAAGTTCCCGACTCCTTGGCAAAAGATCTATACCCTTTCTTACACTGTGATCTACTCAGGTCCTGATCTTAAGTCTTCAGAGCCTTAAGTTAAAGGTCATGTTCCTTGCCTTGGGCTATCTGACTCCTAAAGGACCATACTGTCCATTTTCTGGTGACTAATTCAGACTTTCCTATGCTCCTTTGAGTTACTAACCTTTTGAGAATCTGATAAAAATCATGGACCTTTTCTCTGGAAAAACATCCCTATGTGGAATTCTACACACAACCAGAAGGCCACAGAAACCATTGCTTCTATGTCTGCCTGCTTAGTATCTTCCCACAAAATCATCTCCCACATCCCTGTGACTGCCACTGTTTCTGGCCCAGCCATTTCCTGTCTCCAGTCTCCACCCATTACCTGCTCTCTCTTCCATTCCCAAACCCATTCCACTCATCCTTTTTTCTCTCTCCTAGCCACTCCATTTCTGGGGATAGGTGCTGGGCCCAGACAAACAAGGAAAGAACCAGCCTGAAGATAAAACATGAAGAAAGGGGTGTGAGATGGCTGCTTGGAGCTAAGGCCCAAGCAGGAAAGGGATAAAGTCAGCTGGTCCCAGGGTGGAGCCTGTTTTAAACAAATAAAAACAGAAGGCTTGAAGCTTGAGTCTTGGGCATCCCCTGGTGGCCAAACAGCTTCACAGAGAAGATAAACTATGGCAGGAGGTAAAAACAAGCAAACAAAAAACCCCTCACCATTCATCCAAATGATTTTCTCTGTCACCACCACACCGTGCTCCCCACAAAACACAACACCCCCAGAGGTTTTCTCCTTTTTTAATCAATGACCACCTTTATCCAGCTTTGGAAATCTGGACAAAGAGAAGGCTCAGAAGAGGCCTGCTCCAGTGTCTAAGGGTCTCTGAGTGAGTCTGTCAGCACATGGGCCCCAAATGGGCCTGTCCATCAGCTGGGCACAGCAGTTTCCTGAGTATGAGCCAGTCCCACCCTCAGGGCAGCATCCTGGTCCAGAGAGGATTAAAGGCCCCAGGTTGGGACTATTCCCAAGGCCCTCAGGACGGTCAATAAATAGGTTCTGAGCCAGGCCTGGGAGGACGGGGTATAAAAAGAGCAGATCAGCTACCCAGGGATCCCAAAGAGGTCCTGGGTATTCTCCTGTTCTTCTCCAACAAGGAAGTAAATAAATAGACCTTAAACTCAGGAACAGGGGTGTTGGAGCAGGGAATCCTTCCCCTCAGAGTTAGTAATTAAATCCCATGTTAAAAACAAACCAGCCCTAACCCCTACCAGCATCTACAAAATCCTATAGGCTAGGGCGACGGGCTAGCCTGCCTGGGGGTACACGGTACCCAGCCCTGCAGGGTCCTGGAGGAGGCTTCATGTTTGTTCTGCAGCCCCTGGGGCTTCTTCCTTTGGGGGTGGCTCCAGGAAAATAGGGATGACTGATGGTGGCTTCTTCACTCTGAAACATAATAGAAGAATGATAGGGAGGAGGATGTGCTTCAGTTCCAGCAGGACTCTCCTAGGGCAGAAGAGGTAACTCACGAGTAAGGTGAGGCTGGGACTCCCACCACCAAAAAGTGGTTCTTCTTCCGAAATAATCTCCACAGGCCCCGGTGGTTGCCACGAACATCCAGGTCCCAAATATGGAGGCACTGGCAGAGATAGAGTAGGGAAAAGAGATGGTCAGGAAGCTGTGAAGATGGTCCTCTGAAGGTCTTACAGCTGTCTCCATCTTCAAGAGGAAGAATCCTCTGGAGTATGGATTTGAGCAAGGGGTTAGAAGAGAGGTTCTTTTTTTATTTGCTTGTTTAATTTTGTTTTTGAGACAGGGTTTTCCTGTGCAGTACTGGCTGTCCTGGAACTCACTCTGTACATTAAGCTGGCCTTGATGTCAGAGTTCCACCTGCCTCTGCCTCCCAAGTTCTGACATCAAAGGCCTATACCACCATCCCTCCAAACCTGGCCAGGAAGTGAGGTTCTTGAGTGCATGAGAAGGTTCTGAGGTTGAAAATTCTACAACAAAGACTCTCGCTAGTTGGGGCAGAGCATGCTGGGGCGGGGTACTCCTGAGGTAGGTGAGGCACTGGCACCTTAGCAAGCTGAGTCCACGTGGTGAAGTCGTCATCTTTCTCCATTCGGATAAAGGCCACATAGGTATGGCCCTCTGTGTCTGGCAGGAAGGAGTCTTCACAAGGGTCCTTGCTGTGGTCCAGAACCACTGCCTCACTGCATTGGGGGTAGAAAAGGCCAAGACAAGGCACATTTCCTAGGTGTGACACATAGGGCCCTGGGCTTGATTAAATGCTCCGTTGCTACCATCTTCAAGTTCTTAATAATGTTTGTACTAGAGAACTCTGGATTTCATTTTCTATCGTGCTCATAAATTGTGGCACCAAGAAAGCCAGTATTTGATTCCTTACTCCCTGCCAGGCATCCCAGTTGTCCTAGGCCATACCTGAGAAGCCTGTGAATTTCCACTTCATAAGCTTCTTTCTTCAGACTGAAGGAAAGGGAGAAATGAATTAAGAGAAGGAAAGGCCCTCAGGTCAGGGAAAAGAATGGGCAGGGCAAAGGGTCACATGGGGAAAAGGCACGGCAGGGCTGAGGTAAATACCCAAGGCCCTAGACAGGAAAGAACTAGCAAGGACCGGTCACCAAGCCTTCAGATATCCACCCCTTAGCATGTTGCCAGTCTGTACCTGTCTACATTCCTGAGCTGGACACCCGGAACTGTGTTGAACTTGTGCTTCTTGAAGTAGGCCTCCTGAAATGGGAATGAGGATAAACATTAAGGCTTTATTTAGCCTGGCCCACACCTGCTCACTGACCCACTACAGGGCTACAAGACCCCCCAAAAAATGAAGTACTAAATCTGGAAAGGGCTCTCTGATTTCCTCTAGTCTCCCCATCTTCTTTGGCAAGTCCTTACTAGCTTTAATTTGGGTTGGTTTAGTCCTGTTCTCACTGGTTTCCCCAAGGTTTGCTGCAGAGATGGAGGCATGAGGATCAGAAGTTCAAGACCAGCCTCAGTTACATA